CGTCGCCGCAGCCGTCGCTCCTCATCCTCTTTTTTCCCTCTCGCCGAGATAAACACGGCGCGCGGCGTGGCGTTGCATGGCGTGGCGCCCCCTCTCGACGGACAGAACCGCCCCGTGATCTCACGAAACGCGCTGCTCCCCGCGCGCGCGGCGGCGGCGGCGGCGGCATATCGCGGCCGTGCGTACGGGAGCGGTCGTCCCGCGTGAAACCCTCTCTGTCTCACGACGGCCGGAGTACTCGCGACGTCTCTCGCGGCACGCCCGGTCTCGCGCCGCGGCGGCGACGGCGGCGGCGCATCGCGATCCTAACCTCGAAACCCGCGGCGGGGAGCCGCGCTGGAATCACGCCGCATCGCGGCGGTCCCGCGTGCCACGCGTCGCGCGGCACGCACGCACGTGCTTCGAAATATTCGCGGGAGCGACGTGGCCCCCCGACAGGAAGGTCGCCATGCACGGAACCGAGCCGAGCCGCGGTCCGAACAAGCCAAGCGCTTGCTCTGCCGTCGCGCGCGTGCGACAGCACCGTTCGCCCTCGTGAAATACGCGTGCGCGCGCGCCCACAGGGTACTCACCCTCGTCCGGGTCCTCTAGATCCTCTGTCTGGATGTAGGATATATCTGAAACCCACAAACACCACGGGTTAGCAGAAAATCCCTCGTGTTTTCGGAGAAGTCTCGTCCCGTCCACAGGCACTCACTCACCCGCCATCTTGTAACAAACTGCGGCGCGCTCCCGCGGCCACGCGCCCAACTCGCGAGTCGCGGCGCGAATCGAGATCCGTCCGATATCGATTCTCGCGCGCTCGGGCTTGGCGACTTGGCGAGCGTCTCATCGATATCGCGAAATTCGAATTCGCGCCGAATAGGGTTTTCTCATTTCGATCGCTTCGCTTGCGCTTTTATCTCGACGCAATAGATGGCGCACATATATCATTACGTAAATTCAAATGATAGTAAATTTTTATTACAATATTATTTAAGTTAATAATGTTGTAATTATGGATCAACTAGACTTTTGTACACAATCATCAAAATATATGTATGAATCGTTTAAGCATAGTTATCGCATTAAATTTTATACTCACCGGTTTCAAAGCACGGCACTGCATCGCTGCTTGCGACCGATGAAACAGCATTGATCACCAAGACTCGCAAGAACTGAACGAAGAACACGCTCCGAAGATCGACCGTCACTTTAGTCGGCACTCCCGATAAAAGTTCGCGCTCGTTGGGCCCTTTCAACGGGTGAAACTCGCGATTACTTCGCGGAGCGATCGCGCTCTGCGTTCCGAACCGAGGACGTCACCGAGACTGTCATGGCGGTCAAGCGGGCGCATTTTCGGCACGGGAACCGTATGCCGAAACGTGAAACCGACTACCTATGTTGAATGGCGGATCTTCCATTACGCGTTATAGGAATGAGCGATGTAATAATGATGATTTACATCTTCGATGTCATATCTGACGAAAAGTACGCCGATTGCGCTCCGAGTCTCTCAAAAGAACATAAAGATCATTTTCGCGTGCCGTTGACACAGGAATCTACACTTATCGAAACGAAACGTTGTGGCAAAGTGCGTTGCGGCATCGATCGCGATCGACGAAACGGCATCGGTCGCGAAGGCCCACGAGGACTGATACGTCCCGCAGATTGCCCGTCACTTTGATCGACACTCCCGACAAAAACTCGCGTTCGTTGGGCTCTCTTAACCGGTGAAATTCGCGATCACTTCGCGGAGCGATCGTGCTCCGCGTTCCGAACCGAAGAGCCGGGGAAACTGTCATGGCAGCCAACTGCCAAACGGTCGCGCGCGCGCGCGTTGCGCGCGACTGAAAATTTGAATATCAAGAAAACTTGAAATACGAATAATCAGATTTCGCAGCGAGAATTAGACGCTTACACGTACATATATACATTTTAGCGAGTTTGTTTACCCTGTTCTGTTTGACTTTCTGTATAAAAATTTAAACAGATTTGTGAAAATTGAGGTATAAAAGATGCGAAATGATTCTTGTACAAATGTTCAAGTAGCATTGTAATTATTGTAATTATTGTACTAGAATGGACTCGTCCACATGACCCACACATGATCAGCCCGTTTAAGATTTATCGTACGAATAATATTACGGTCACATAAAAATTATTGAATGAAATTATCGTACACTCATATTAATAAAGATACGTATAAAAGTAAAAGTATACGTATAAAATATTCGAAATAAACATTTATATTTATATTTTAGAATTGGCACATTTTAATAGATTCGTCCACATAATTAAACTGTTTTTAAATTTATCGTACAAATAATATTACGATTAATTACTTGAAAGATTTAAAATACTTTGTACTTCAGAATTTATAAAGAAATCAAAATAACGTATGAGAATAGCATAAGAGATTCAAAATAAACATTCACATTTAGATTTCAGATTTACAGCATTATTACAAATGTTAATTTAAATATTTTCTGATATGTGAACTGTTTTTATCTGATTTCATCCGATAGAAACAGAGGCCTGATTCTCTAACGACAAACGTATGCGTAAACTCTGCTTTAACAGAAAAGCTGCAAGCTTATTGGCTAAAAACTGTGTGATAGCCAACCAATTTGCAGCCTTTCTGTTAGAGCAGAGTTTGCGCATACGTTTCTCATTAGAGAATCGGGCCCTATAGGTCGCGGCCCGCTCCACCGCCCCCTGCGATTCCGATCGGCGGTCCTCTTTTATTTATTGATACGTTTTTTTTTACATTTTTATCATTTATTTTATTTCTCATACAATTTACTTTACAATATATACAACATTATAAAACAGCTACATTATAAAATTGAAAATATAATATGCAATTATATATACAATACTTCTTTTTGACATAAAATTATGTATGCGCAACATTCGGAATGTGTGTACAATAGCACAAAATAATAAATATAATAATAATTATTATTATTATATTATATATTATATATATTGAATTATACCCCTTGTCCCTGCCTACCCCTCACTATTTTGATATACTTGCGGATTGTTGAACGCGTAGTCGATTATTCCCGCGGCCCGCGGAACGGAAAAGCAGGAGTGCCAATCGCAGGAAGGAGCGCGTTTCAAATAACACAGCACGAAGCACGGAGCACGGAACACGGCGCGCGGAGCACCAACACTTTATTCTTGTGCGAGATTCATCGAGAAAATGATAAATGAGTAACTTCCACAAGTAACAATACTTCGAGCGTTGATAAAAATAAGTGGCAAGGTCGCTCGCAGACAAAAGAATCGGCCGTGCGTCGACTGAAGCTACGTTGTATTTTCAAACGAATGGTCGCGTCTGGTATGCCGCCTGGTATTGGTACGTACGCCGCGCCGGCGGCTCGGGGCGGTTGAACGTGATTGGGCAGGTCGCGAGAGCTCGGCTCGCGCGGAGCCAATCGCGTTCGACGTCTCACCCGACTGTGCCGTGGCTCGGCGGCAGCGAAGCGCGCAAGTAATACGTGACGCGTTCAACGTCGGTGCGAGTCGCGAGACGTTGTCGCTCGTGTAATTCCCTCTTTCTCGTGAACGAAAAGAAATCCGGTTACAGAGTGTTGCAAGGTGAACGTACGCCAAATGCTCCGTTGCTTCTCGTGTCGACTGAAACGAGTGGGATACTGTCGCTGGGCGAGATGAACGCCGAATGCCGTACTGGACTGGACGCCGTACGTATCATCCTCCCGACTGTGATTTGGCGGGTCTCCTGCAGTGCGCCATGAACGGTGAGTGAGTTGTACGTAAAAAATAAATGTTTTCGCAGCGTGATACATTTGGATCTTAATAGAATCGTTATCCCGCGTATCGCAGTGAGACGATAACCTCATCAGAATTCGCGCGTCTCCTGCCTCTCCGTTTCGATTCTTATTCCGAATAAGTAAATCGTGCGAAAAGACGCTTCAGTGAATCTCTCCTCTCTCGTTAGGCACGGAAATTAATAATCAATTAAGTGATTGAACAGAACGATCGCGCGATTAACATTCTTATTTTGCTTGCCATCGCGAACGAGGGAGCGAGCTTTTGCTTCAAAATGCGTATGAACATCGAAAGTGCGGACGAGTCAAATGTGCGTTCGCGAATACAGTTCCGTTTTTCGTTAAAAAAACAAGCACATAATTCGCTTCGTAATTCGATACTTACCGTTTCGTCAAACGTAATCCGATGTTGAGTAGCGTACTTTAAAATCAATGTAGTTTCGATAAGTTCAGATTATTATTTCAGAGATACGCCAAAAATGTCCTTTTAATTATCTATACTTTTTTATAAATTCATTATGCGCACAAATTAATTGAAATGTTACAGTAATCAGTAACAATCGCGATCATCTTCCATTTTAGAAAAAATATTTTAGACGACAGTATTACGCCTAATTCTATGCATGATATGTATTTTCCCATTCCAGAAACTTGGAGGCTGATAATGCAGACATGGGTTGATCTTGTTTGAAGCTTGGTGCGACTGTAAAAACTATATGTCAACAGGTAAATCATTTATATAATTTCTCATATCATTATTTTTCAAACGATATACAGTGGCATTCCAAACGAGCTAGCAATGCCGATGTTTTTATTTGAAACTAGGATTTTAATAATTCTGTTTTCATACAAACAAGTTTTAATCACGTGATTAAATTAATTTATAAATATTCATATAATGAAATATATAATATAATATATTAATTTAAATGTAAGAGAAAGGGATAAATAGATGAAATTTCTCAGAAAGTTTCGTTTAGGGCGTTGTTGTATCTAATCTTGATACTTGAGTGAAAAGTACATACATACATATTAAAAAATGGTAGATCTCGTAAATAAATCATTTTTTAATTATCACGTATACTCACTACCGGAAGAATTTTTGGGGGTTATTTGCATTAGAGCATTAGAATAACGGGAGAGGTAATTGATAACGAAAATAAGACTTTATAAAAAAATGCTTGCAAAATACATGTATATGATAAAACATTAAATTTCTCTTTATATCTTCCCAAGAATATAATATATGTGTATGTATGTGTGTGAATGTAGTGTTTTTGATATAATATATACTATCAGTATTTCACAATTCCTTAAAGATAAACTTACATTAAATCACTAGTTACATTAGTTGTAAATGTTCACTTACGCAACTTAATTAAGAATTTAAATAGTTTGAAGATATAATCTGAACTTTTGTAATTCTAATAGAGGAAATACATTTTCAAGTTAATGAATAAATAACCTTTCGAATTTCATGATTCAGTCACAAGTTTCAAAGCGAAAATCTATAAACACAATCGATAGAGCAACCATTGTATTCATTGATATCATGAAGAAAAGCGCTCGTATATATCAAATTTTGTTTGACTATTCGTGTGATAACAAATACATACGTTACTTCCATCAAAAGTGCCTATATGAAATTTTTTCATACGGAGTTTGAGCTCTTTCGGTTTCTCTGATTTATGCTCGTCTTCTGATTTATAATTTTCTCCGGTCTATTTGTTATAATTTTCTCGCATCTGTTTGTTTCTCTACTCATTATTATAATCATATAAATTAGTATATATATATAGCCATTTATACTTAGTTTTAATCTCTTGAAGTTAATGTTCGTGAGGATATCATTTAAATCACAAAATATCTTACTATAAATCTATATAGTAGAAAAAGTATAGAGAAGTATGGAAAAGGAGAATGTTTTGTCTTTGTAAAACATTTGTTTACGCATTCTTTAAGATCTTTGATTTTTTAAATAGAAACTTATTCAAATCTTTGCAATGTACTATCACGGAATTCGTTTCTCTATAATTAATTTGTAGTTCTTTCTATTTATTAATGCGCTGTATTGCATAGAGAAAAATACTATGTGACACGTGATAACTGTATACAATACACGACGTAAATAACTATCTATAATTATGATTATCTCGTGATATTTCCATAAAAATTGTATGACATCAAAGAAGTGATGAAACAATTCGTAAATATTGATATGAGATGATCGATGTCATATGTTATCTGACGCTACTTCTTCAATGGTAGCCCTACACATTGGGCATTCAACCAACTGTTTTGAACACCTTTGGCAAAATCCTCTGTAAAAATAAAACAATTATTGCGTCATGTATGTTCTTACAAAAGCATTGTTTCATGAAACTCGAATTTAAATACAATATTACCTATGGTTGCATGGCAGTAACCTCACTGATGCTCTCTGATCGAAACATAACGTACAGGAATCTTCCCTAACACTAAGCCTTCGTAATTGATCTAGGTATATGTGCCTAGGAAGTATGATCTTGTCTTCTGGTTTCAATGTAGCATAGTCATTAAATTTTTGAAATTCTCGATCAGTGGGTGGATATTTGAAAGGTACATGTCCAAAATTAAATAGACATTGTTGGAATGACATGAAACTAGCTGCTGCAAAGAATCCAGACCTAAAAGTAACATCAGATGTTACCGTTATGATTTTGCGTGGACATTCGTGGCATATGAAAAAAGGGCAACTATATGTACCTTACTGTATTAAATACTTGAATGCACGGTTTAAGTGGTACGCCATTAATAGAGAATATTATCTCTAATTTGTTTAAATCCAATAAACAACCCAAGATATCACCGGATTTCCAACATGGTCTGTCATGAAATTTTTCGCCTCGTGCATTATACCAAATCAGTTTGCGACAGCCATCATAGGCCAAAGAAAATTCATCATCTCCTATACCATAGCCCTCCTATTAAAAAATAATTTTTATGGTAATAATATACAATAATTCTGTAAATGAAAAATATAAAATATTCTCAAATCTAGATATTCACGTGATTGAGAAACGTGCTGTCCTTTGTGGCCCATCCAATCTGCATAACTCCTGTAGTTATTATCAGTGTTTCATAATACCATATTCCTGAATCTACTTGAAACGTGCATCGTACACTTTCGAAGGAATATGCATCACATCGTGCCTAAAATAACAATAAGTTATCATTACAGTAAAATATAATCTCTATTAGCAAAAATGCAATATAGCGTAACAGGAATATCTACCTCCAAACCATTAGGTGATATTTTCAGGTACTCGCTTACATCTTTCGTATTTAACATTACATTAATACCCGTCACATCGACGGAGTCGTGGGAATATTTTCTACCTTCCATTAAGACTAAAAAGAAAAATATTGATTATAAATACTTCGTTGTCGCTTACCAAGCGGAGCAGATAAATGGCGCTTGTGATGAGATTACATCATACTTACATAAATTATCTAAACACCATTGTGCACAAAAACCAACTTGTCGACGTACATAATGCGTTTCCGTAGCCCATTTCTCCAATTCCAGTAATGGATTTTGTTTTTCCGCCATAAGGCGTTTCTTAATAGTTATCTTATTTTCACCTGTTGACATATAAACAATCATTAGTTATGATAAAAAACAGAAAATTTATTAATAAAATATTTTTCTTACTTGTCTGTGCAAACTTCTCTAGTGCTATCAAAGAATATAACATTACGTAAGGCTCAACATCTTTTCGCTAAAAAAATAAAAAAATAATTTTAAAAAGTACCAAACACTGATACTGCTACATTTTAGTAATAAATAAATAACATACTAGATTTGAAACTAGATAATCTAAAGTAGCGTCAGATAATATCGCAATACTACTAGGACCAGCAAGTTTATCTGCAATACAACCAAGTACTACGCATATATTGCGTTGCTGCGTAGTTGTAATTTGTATTTGTCCAAGTTTTTGAGGCAATTGAAACATATTTGATAATCGTAGCACGGATTCCTACAACACGAGAAAAGAGTTATCGTTATTACTGCTCTTGCTTTGATTTTTGAAATATAGCAAATAAATTGAGACGATAGGAATGATAAGAATAAAAAATTACAAATAAATTTCAACCTTTGAAGGTAAAGGGCAATCATCTAGCAATAATACTATAACCGAAGGACCCAACGGATTGTTCATTGGAATAACATTGACCATAGAACTAACTACTTGTATCCAGCCCTCTTCCTTGTCCGCAATGGAATTCAATTTTAACATTGCTGGCGGTGGCTCATGATCACTAAACATATGCAAATAAGCGTATAAATATAAGAAACCGATAAATTCCATGCATATTATATCGTCTATTGTCTATTACTTACTTATCTACCAGAGTATCAAGACTTCCAAGTGTTTCCAATACAAGTTTGTCAATATGTGACCCGGCAGGAAATTTAAAGGAAGGGGATGCCGAATCGCTACACGAGACTATACTTATACTCGGTTCTGGTATTATGGTAGTCTGAGTTTCTGCATGATTTCTACTGCCATATGTCTCAATGTCGTATATCCCTGGAGTATCTTTACACAAACAATTGCCCATTCCCACTAGTTTATTAGGATTCCTTCAACGAGTTATTGCCTATTGCTTAGGTTACATTTACAGAACAGTGGTACAATCGCACGATCAAATCTCGCATTTGACTAGGCTGAAAAGAGAACTTGAATGTAATAGAACGACAAATGCCGGTTTGCGCGAAGCATGCACCTGAAAATTATACTACTTACCAAAAAGATGATAATATCATGATAAGTCATATCCTTTTACCATGTACGTAATGATAATGTTATAAGCGTTTTTATCTGCTTATCCACGTACATAACTTTAGTATTATAGCTTTATGACTAAATGCAAGTAAAATGTTAAGTGTTTCCCGTTTAAGTCTTCCTCATTAAAACTTGCCTGTTTCAGCTGGTAAACTGTATTAATCATACATGCCTCCACCGCTTTTTGATCTGTCACGATAGAAAATTAAAAAGATTAGATAAAAACGAGATATAAGCATGTTTTGTAAACCAACATACATGACTGGGTGCTTTCTCGCAAATTTTACGAAAAGGTGCAGATACGCGTCTCGATTCGGGAAAATAATTACGACGAAAATGAATTTTTGGAAATCGCACTACTGCAAAGTGCTCCAGCGGATCGAAAAATCAGAAAATCGAATCGCGGAGCCTCGCCTTTGAGGTTATGTCTCCGCTACCCTACACAACGGCAATTTCACCATACAGCGCGAAACGCGAGACATATATGCGCCTTATCGCGTCTGATATTACTCTGTCGTTCTCGCGTTCCACGGCAGCGAGTACTTTCCGCTCATGCTTCGTATAATTTACGTCTGGGGCCCCTCGGTTAATCACGACGTGACACGTTTATCGAAGCGTACCGTAGTACCCGTGCAGATTGTGCCGTATCGCATCTTGTGCGTTCGGCTGCGAGACGCACGCGTACGCGTACGGGCGTACGGGATCAACGAAACCCGTCGAGATTTCGCGTGTATCGAGATCCGCTCAAAGCCATATCGCGTCGTAATAAAGAATATAAGGATTTTCGCTTCTCGCCGTCGATCTCGTCGCGCGGCGAAAAACGGCCGACTTTTCTCATCTTCGTTCAAGACGAGCGGAAAAGTCGACGTCGCTGACGTATAAATAAGTACGTGCGTGCAAAAATCGAGATTTACGTCAATTTGCAAGAGTTGCGGCGAGCCGCGGGCTCTAGGACGAACGACTCCTCGCAATTACAATACAATATCCGACCGATAAGGGCCGATATCATCACAGTCTTCGATTAAACTCACTCTGCATCTCTTTCTAACTGTCCCCCTAAAAAGAGACGAAGAGTGAGTTTAATCGGAGGATCACGTTAATCGGAGATTGTAATATCGGCCCTAATAAGTCTTATCCGTCTTATCGTGCAAGTCTTTGTCGCCGTTTCCATTTACGATCATAATTTTATTTATAAATATAAATGTGCCTGGGCGGGACGTGCACGTTTGTAATGAAAATAATAATAGAATTCCACGCGTGAATGACGCGCGCTGTCGTGAAACGTCTCCCGTTCACGGCGTTCAGGCCAGCATACGCGTGACGTGTTCATGCGCGTAAACACGTTGACATTTCGCGTCCGCGTGAAATAATCATCAGCCGTAAGCCGATTTGCCATTTGCCATCCGCCGCGACGTGGGCAGAGCGTTTACGAAGTTCGCGCGCGCGAATCGCGATTCTCGGCTCGACGACCTCGACGTTATCGCGCGTCGCGCGATAACGCCGTTCGACTATCGAAGTCGCGGCGAGTACTCGCGGTACCGTCTGCCACTGTTTCAAGACGAACTTACGGAGCGAAGACGTCTCGCGTTTGAATCTCGTCGGTGGCCCGTCGTGCAGCACGCCAAAAGTAAATCGCCGGCCGTGGGATCCGCTCGAGTCCGCTCGCGTCCAAGTAGCGCTCGCCGCCGCGTAGTACCCCCCTTTTTTTTCCTTTCCAGGACTCCCCGCGGGAGTATGTAACGTTATCACATGGGGGCAAGACACGGCCAGCGAGTGTCAACGATCAATAGTGTCACGAAAATGACTTGGTGACTCATGTGCCGGGGGGTTTCGCGCGAACCATGGTGTCCGGGGACAACGAGAGGCTGCTGCCCGAGCCCGAGAGCTACGCCAAGTGTTTTTACGATCTCTTCAAGAACGTCGCCGAGGCGCAGAGGTGCGACGAATGCGTGACGTATAACCTCTCCCGCGATTTGTTTACCTGACGCCGTCGTCGGTGACACTTCGCCGCCGATCGGCTTCCCTTGCCGTTCGATCGGTCGACGTCGCGGTGGAATCGCGTAATTTGATCCCCGATTGAAGGAAACTTTTAATTGACACCGCGGCGTTAATTGAATGCGCATCACGGCCGCGTTTATCGGCGTAGAACGTAACCTCAAATTTTTTGTTTATTGAAGATTAGTTTTCCTGTTTATTCCCTTTTATTCTTTATTTGAATTTTTCGAATGACTTATTAATTTCGTTAACAAGCGTAGTAGGAGTATTTCTCGTCATATTTACCTACAATATTAAAGTTTTTAGTCATGTAAATAGAGTAACTTTTGTTCAAGTCTTTTCACAAATAGAATAAACAGAAATGTTTTTGTAATATTTTGATGTTGTATATAATTGTCGCTGCAATTTAATTATACTACTTTTATTTATAACAAGACAATTTTATTATAATTAAAATAAAATCACACAGTGCTATAAAATATATTTTGTTATGTTTGTTTTATGTGGGTACAGTAGTCAATTTAAATAGGAATTTGAATTATAATATTTTTTAGGAATAAGGGAGAATGGAGAAAGTGTAAGAAAAATAAAGCTATTCGCAAACGAGACAAGAAAAAGGTATCAGAGATTCTTTTTCTTCCTGTAATTTCTAGGATAAAACATATTCTGACACATTTTATGTATATGTATAGATTGATTTAAATGGAGAATTAAATTACAATAATCCACCGGAGATAGAAACATCTTGTAATGCCTCAGCATTTGCTGTGTTTGCTAGCGTGAGAAGTGCTATTTTAGAAAAACATGCTAAATTGTCAAGTGAGATTTATAGAGCGTCAAACTGTAATTCTCCACCACCAGATCTTAGCGATACTATAGACACAGAAAGTGATGATGAGGATAGGATATCAACTATACAAAATTTACCAAAGGTAAAAGCAGCTTAGAATTAATTAATTTCTTTAAATTTTGCTTTCCACATACTGTTGTGGCATTTAAATTTTTGTTTTGTTTTTGTATTGTAACATTTATTTATACAATATGTATAATTTATAACATACGTAACTAAAAACTTTTTTAATAAAGATTGTAGGTATCGGTTTAAGAAGTGTTTTTACATTGATGCGGGAGAGTAGAACAATCGATCCAATCTTATGTACAAAAGCATTATCGGCTTTATTGGATGTTTTACAAGGGCAACTACCAGAAGGCCTCAAATCCGAACCAGATGATGTCATTGGTTTGTATCTTTAAATAATTGATCTTTTTAATTGACAAAGTGACAAACTTCTCAATAATTTATCTTTTTTAGATCCGCTGTTTGATCTATTGTTGGATCTTGCAACTTCTCATGGCCCCGAATCAGCCGCTGCCAATGACGGCAGTCACCTGACAGCTGTTGCTTGTGCGTGTTTATTGAGTCTTGTTGTAGTCAGAGGAGATACTGGACGGCTGTTGGCAGCAATAGCGGCTCTGCTTATGTCTCCTAGAGCGTTAGCGGTACAAAATATTCAGGTATCTTATTATTGATATAATCATAGTATTGATTTGTTGCATGATATAGTACATGCTATATTATAAAGTTTAATTTTTTGTGTTTTAGATGCCATGTGTGTTAACGTCTCTGCAGAGAAGTGTACATGCTGTTTTGTTAGGAAAACTTGTGAGACCAGATTGGATTACATATGGCGTTCCTAAGTGTTCCAAGATATATACCTCTATGCTTAAGTTACCAAATGAGATGAACAATATGATATTGAATGAACGTAGTTTTGTGAGCGATGGAAAGTATTTATATCTGCACACATCTCGTGGTTTATTAAAAATTGGAAGTGGCCACAGTGGTACAATATGGGGACATATATACATACATAAAGCAGATTTTTATCCGACGGAAATAGGATGGCTTGGTTATGCTAATGTTAGTTGCACATTAATGCTTAAGTTATCAATGTTACAGTTTATTTACGACTGTACAACGATTTAATAATGTTGTCACTTATACAAAGTTTTACTTACAGAATTCATTATATTTTAAATGTGCACCTAGAAAACAGAGTGAGTTATTAATTATCGATGCAGAAACACTTATAGTAACAGGAATTGCCGTGCTGGAAGGAAAAGATTGGTCGTCCTCTGTCATGTTTTCTGATGGTGAAAATTTAGGAATGATAACAGCTGGCAAAGATGTAATTTAATTGCGTATAAATATATTGTTATTTGAAATATTTATTTAATTTTTTTGTAATCTTCTTTCTTAAAATCTTAACAGGAAGGTTTTGTAGTACGTACAATAAACACGTTGAGTAATCCCGTGACAGTTGCCTCGGAGCTACCACTGAAATTGGCAAGAAAATGCGTAGATATATTTGGATACGCAACATTTGATGAGGAACAAGCTATACATACTTTGAATCCAGGATGCGACGATGAAATTGCGATGGTTACAGCAGGAAAAGAATTTGGCTTACTCAAAACAGTGTCTGGAAAAGTAAGTATTATTTAAGAGATATTTTAAACAGCTGTTGCGATTACTCAATATTTCATGTATAAATGTTATACGTTTAGTTTATTTGATCTTGAATTTAATATATAATTTTAATATTTTTTATAGTTATTATATAGCGGAAAAGGAACTTGCCTAGGCATGAAGAGCAATACAAGGCCTAACAGGTGGTTGGAACTTACCTTTGGTAAAGGTCCAAGGATCACGCATTTTGCGGCAGGTCATGATGGTCAACATGTCGTTATGGTTATGGAGGATGGTTCTGTATTATTTGCTGGCACTGCTAGACGTGGAGAAGATGGAGACAGTAGTAAGTTTAGTAGATTATAGTAATGTTTTAATTTATAATGACACACACAAAATCACTGTAATTATTTATTTTATTTTAAGATAAAGCTCGTAGGCAACCAAAACCAGTAAAACCAAAGAAAATGGCAAAAGTGGAAGGTCAGTTTATTGTAGACGCTGCTTGTAATAATGGATCTACTGCTTTAGTCACGAAGGATGGCTCTCTATTAATGTTCGGTAAAGATACGTTACATAGCGATCCAGTGACAGGATTAGTTACCGATTTGAGGGACGTATGTATAGTTCGTGTATCGTTAGGGAAGGCTCATGCCGCCGCGTTAACTAATAAAGGACATCTATATACGTTCGGTATAAATAATAAGGGACAGTGTGGTCGTGATTCTACAACGGTACATACTGTGAATAAAGAAGTGTCGGTAGTTGCGATGGAAATGGGTACAGGGGAAGATGAATTAATAATAGCCGAAGAGGAGAGTGTGGATCCTGCGGAAGATTGGGAGGAAACGAGAGGAATGTGTCCTCCGGGGCAACATCAGTGGAGGCATCGCGTTTGTATGGTTTGTACGATATGCAGAGAATGTACCGGTTATAGCATCTCGTGTCTGAGTAGTATACGTCCCGATCGGAATCCCGGTCAAGAGTGCGGATGTGGCGAAGGAGACAGCGGATGCGCGGAATGCGGATGTTGTCGTACGTGTGCGAGGAAGAGTTGCAGCAACGGCATATCGGGTTCCAACTTCCGAGAGTATCTACAGAGACGATTGGGTGAGATAAAGCAACGGCAAAAGAGCAAAGCAGGACCGAGTACTGTCAAGTATGGAGTAAAAATCAAGGGATCGAATAATCAGCGCGTAGCCGGTCCTAGTATCGTGCAAAAGGGATTTCCGGAAAAGGTGGCATTGGGATTGGGAGTTAATCTCACGGTCGAGGAAGGTGTCGGCGGTAGCGACGTGGAACGAGGGGACGCGGCGAGAATTGCCAGTATATCACCGGCCAGAGTTCCTATTCCTAGTGAAAGTCCTGTGATTCAAGTGTCCTGTGGTTTGCATCACACAGTATTACTTTTGCAAAACGGAGAAGTATATACGTTCGGTAGTAACATATACGGTCAGTTAGGCGTCGGGGATTTAGTGGCACATGCAGGACCGATTCAAGTTAAATTGCCAACTATTGCTACTCAAGTAGCTGCTGGGAGCAATCATTCCGTCATACTCACATCAAAGGGGGAAGTTTACACGTTCGGTGCATACCAAAAGGGACAGCTCGGCATGAATTGGTGGAACGGTCAGAACGAGTCTACGAACACTTCTCAGGTAAATCGTCGTGCCGACCGCTCCCAACCGTGGCATAGCTTTCCAAATGTAGTCCCGAATATAGGTCCTCGATGGGGTAGACGAGCGACGTGGATCGGTGCCGCTGGAGATCAAACTTATGTTAAGATAGATGAAATAAATTCGATTAGTTTGACAAGGAGCACCGTTATGGCGAATAAAAATTGTATTATCTTGATACCACATCAGAATGAACACGCGAATTCTTTCAAGAGTCTGGTGATAAGTAAACGTGATGGAACGTGCAACAGTTATAGCGGTGTGGATCAGGTTGATTTCAGTAACTGCGCAGCATGCTTGGATCCTTTGTACAACGTTATTTGGACCTTCAATTCAGCAAATAACGAAATAAGCTTGTACAATATAATATCAACAGAAGCTAGAGCGATACCCGGTTTGGAGGCATCCATGCTCAATCCAGGTTTAGCGCTTCCGGTTGTTTCGACTTGTTTTGTAACGCGTTCTCAAGCCGCGATGCATTTATTAGCTTGTTTGGATACATTGACGCAAGCTCAAGACGAAAACTTATCGATAGTTGAAGAAAACGAATGTAATCAATCAATACATGGCAAGGTTTACAGTCGCGAAGACTACGTCACTGTTAGCAGGTTCGAAAGCCACGGAGGAGGATGGGGTTATTCCGCTCATTCGATCGAAGCGATTAGATTTATGCCTGATACAGACATTATATTGGGAGGCTACGGTTTATTTGGCGGTCGAGGAGAGTATACTGCGAAGATCAAGCTGTTTGATATCGGAATTGACGGTGGAGACCAAGAGAACGATGGCGAACTTCTTGCAGAGACAGAAGAGATTCCATATGAATGCGGCCCAAGACAAAAATATTCGATATTGTTTGACGAACCTATATCCTTGCAAGCAAACAGGTGGTACGTGGCATGGGCTAAAGTCGGTGGACCTTCCAGCGATTGCGGTTCCGGTGGACAGGGAATGGTCACGGCGGAAGATCAGGTCATGTTTTATTTCAAGTCTTCTAAAAGATCGAACAATGGCACCGATGTTAACGCCGGGCAGATTCCACAGTTACTGTACCGCGTTGTTACACCTGAAAATCAGACATCGAACAGGCAGAGAGATCAAATTGAACCTGTCTATGTCCTGAAGAGAGAATTCAGTAGGACTGTCACAAAAGAGTGCTTTCAGTCCTTGATATCTCTTCTTCAATGGAGCTGGAACACATTGAAGGCGACATTGGCCGATGTGGCCGTTCATATCGCGTCATCGACTCACGCAATGCTCGAAATGGAACGATTGGTGTACATAAGCAAAGCCAGTTTAAGACTGCTTAGAACATATGCCAATGAAATCTATCCCAATCATGTCGTTAAGAAGACCCCTCCCGAGTCAGTGCGTTTGGCGGAATGTATAGGCGAGGTACGGGCATTATTGCGTCAAATTTTATCCGATTCTCTACCAATTGCTCTGAAAAGTAAAGGAAAGACGCGATCTAACAAAAGTTCTAGTAATACTTTAGGAAATAAGATGACAAACAGCATACTGGACGAATGTCACAAAACGTTTGTAGCTTGTTATCACGCGTTTTACCCTACCGCGTATCTTAAATGGACCTCCTTGTGCGAGTTATTATCGGATATCGATAAAGAACAAGGCACAACCACAAAAGATCGTCTCCTTTCGGCCGTGCTGGCTTCTTTGTGCAACTCGGCGATACGACTTAGATGTACGTTTCCAATCTTGAGCAACATCATGGACAACAGCGACAGCGTGAAGCGGCAGCTCAGCCCGTCTGACAATGCCGGTTTACTCATGATGAATTCGACGGAAAGTCATCAGTATCCGATTTTGGTCGAGCAAATCAGTTACAAATCCCAAGTGGAAAGCTCCGGAAAGGAGATCTTGAATTGGTCGTTCCGCGAAGTACTCGATAGATTGCTGGACTTGATATTGATACCAGTCAAAAGAAGCCTTTGTAGAGAAAAGATTCAATCTCTGCCAGAATTGATTCTTCATTGCTGTTATTTATTAGCGCGGGTAATCGCCGAATTGGCGGCACAATCGAGCGGAAATGAGGATGAACTGCAAGCAGCTTGCGGCAGACTCATGTATACGACTCCTTCAAGATTTACAAGGACAAATCAGTCAAGATCATGGAATACGGGTAACGGTTCTCCGGATGCTATTTGCTTTTCCGCCGATAGACCGGGCATCCTTATAGCTGGTGTTGGTATCTATGGAGGTGCGGGAGTATATGATTACGAATTGGAATTATTAGATGATGTAAGTAGTATAAAAATATTTTGTCATACTGTTCTTGTAAATTTGAATTTTATAGTATTAATCATGGTCACTTTATTACAGCAAAATAATACTGGTAACGATCCATCGCATACTCAACGTTGGAGTAGTTTAGATTTTACAAGAGGATCCTTCGGGCCGGATGACTGTATTAATGACATAGTAGAATTGAAATTTGACAAACCAGTGCTCATAAAAGAGAATATTAAGTATGCTATTAGACTACGGAATCGCGGAGGACGAACTAGTAACGGTGACGGTGGCCTAAGCGTTGTCAAAGGAGCCGATGGCACAACGTTTACCTTTACGGCTTGTTCTCTAAGTTTTAATGGTACGTTAAATTTATATTTACATTTGAAAAAAGTATCGTGCAATATTATACAATATGCAGATTGTATTAAACATGCTGCTATGTTATTGCAGGCACAACACAAACACGAGGTCAAATACCACACATTTTATACTATTCAAATCCGCAAGATTCCGACGGACAACACACGAATAAAGCCATGGCGGAAGTGCAAGCGAGAAAATGTACTCTCGCCATGACAGCGACGATCATTCAACGATCGAATGAAATTTTTTCTCTGGCAAGGGAAAGAGCAGAAGAAGTAATAGCTAATGAAGTTCTTGGTAACGCGGCTTTTATAACGACTCTCTTACCTCTAGTAATGGCACACATTAGTCCTTTAGCTACATCAGACCCTAGAGTAAGTAAAGACTTTTAAAATATGAACATCTTACAATTAGATGAGAAAATGTGATAACAAGAGAAATATAAATTTAATATAAATTTGTTTTGCATTTTTCAGAGCAGCGTACAAATCCTTACTCTAATACAAGAGATGTTGCCACACATTGCAGCTTTAAACTTACTGTCCACGATGGGAGCTTCTCAAATATCTCAAGATAGCGAAACTCAATCACACTTTGCTCCTCCAATTACTACCAGCCATCATTATACTTGGCTAGAAAGCGAACATCCTTATAAACCAGCGACAGTATCGTATTATAAAGTTTCTTTTCCGGAAACAGTGAAGTGGCTAACCGTTGAATTTACTCCAGAATGTGGAACTTCACAACCAGAAGATTATCTCCAACTTTATATACCAAATATAATTCCCAACTCCTCTACAGGGTAGATAAAATGCTTCCGCACTTCTATATAATATACATTTATATTACATACTTATATTTTACGTTTATGTTTAATTTTTATCCTTACAGAACAATTCCAAATATTACGGGCGAAGATGCTCCTCTATATTGGCCAGTATTACATAAGTTGAGTAATGTTCAAAGTCAATGGCCGCAAAATGCTGTTGTGTTACCAGGTATGTTTATATGTAACATTAATTAAAAATATACGAAATATATATAATACATAACGTTCAACAAATTATTTGATGTTTAGGGAATGAAGTGATATTTTCTCTGGAAACTGCATCTGATTATATGAAGAATGAGAGCTCAATCACATATGGCTTCAAATGTTTAGTTATTGGTTACGATTGGATAACGTCCGGCTATGGTTTAAAGAATTTGGAAATTGAATTGTCTTTCCTCGGAGGAGCATGCGCTGCAAGTCTTATGAAGAAGAATTTATCATTGCCTCCAGTATCCTGTAAGTATGACATGATTGAATTTTCGTTCCATATTAATAAATCAGTAAATATGAATATGTTTATAAATATGTACTAATATTTATATTTAAAATATTTCAACATATGATGTGTAAAAATGCTTTTAGTTAATCCGTTTTTGAAAAGATCTCAAACAAGCAAACCTTTACTATTTCAATTATATAGTATAAAGAATAATATATGATTCCTCTTTTAATAAACTGATCTACGGTACTACAATTTCTAGCGGAAGAGGTTGAAGAGGACTTGGAGTCGATGCAGGAAACGGCAAAGAGGATTTTCTCCGTACATTCGGCATTACTTGGACGAGGATTCGCACTCGCATCGCCACCTACGGTTTCGCAGGCTCTCGACGGCGTGCTTCCATACAGGTAAGTGCCTAACACCTTGTCTTGGTATTGAAATAAAAAAAGAAACTGTACAACTGTAACAGAAATTTAATAGATTGTAATTATTATCTCATGAAAATTGATCAATATAATTATTACATCCATATTATATTTTCTATGTGTAGAAAATTCCAATGTCTTTTTCTTACAATCGATGTATCTGATGTATATATACAGTTTCTTTTTTATCTTGCAAAAGATTGTAGTGAAACGATGCATGTTTTATTCATTCGTTGCGTGTTATAAGATGTCTTAAACAAGGCCGTGGTAAATAAGTCATAAATCCGCATGAATATCTGACGTTATCCAATCGCGGTGGCACATACGAATCGTGCATTTTAGTAAAACATAAACATATAAAATATTCGTAGATAATTTCTGGTCAGTTAGAGTTTTATGTGACTTTGCTCACACACATTTAGTCATTGCAATTATATAATCATTTTTATTTGCAATTAACTTCGAAATACGAATAGGTAAAATTTAATTAATTTTCGCCAATGTAATAAATGGTATACGTACCTACTATTAACTGAAGGAATATTAGCATGTGATCTCCTTGGAGAACAATCTTAATACGATTAGCAAGTACATTATTGGTATCGTCTTTATTGTACCTTCGGTCGTTCAATGCGAAACAAATTATACAGTCGGCGGCTGTTATATCACAGTCTCACGATAATTATAACTATATATGACATTATAAACTGATTTTGTTCACCACAACGATATAATTACACACGTATACACGCATACATACCTGCGCATACAGTTTGCATACGTCGCGGCGTATTGGACTCTGATCTTTCGATATTATTAGCGGCCGGGATGCTAATAAAACCTACCTTGGCGGAGTTCGAATTATCGAGTATAAGAGGCACAAAAAGTTTTTTCCGAGGCTCAATTATCTTCTTTCATGCGCTCGAGACGAAGCGTTGCTTACCTCCGTCTTCAAGTGCTTCGAGTGCTTGGGCCTTCTGTTCAATAAATCAATTTTAACCGTACGATATATTACAGTTTCCGACAAGCTTTATTTTACTTCTTTTTTCGTAATCGGCAAATGCCTTTTTATGATTATCAAAATATTAGATCAATGTCGCGATATATGCCTCCTTTTAATTAAAGGGGGAAGGGACAGGAAAACGTTTATTTATTTTCATCGATTATGATCTAGGGGAATACGTTCGCTCATAATCAAGTCCTTTAAAATGCTTCCATTACACGCATAGATCAAACGCATCGAAGAATATTGCTATATGGCGGGATGTACATTTGAAGTAGGTTTTGTTTGGTTTTACAAGATCACCTGTTTCGCTGAAATTTTCCAGCGTTACGTTAACACACAGAAATTCCGCGGAACAATCGTAACGTTTTGATTACCGTGACTTACTTAAGATTAAATATAAATTATAATAACAGTAACAACAGTTTCTCTTATATCGCACAGTGTCAAAGCAAAAGTGTTTGCTTTAAATAAATGCATTAATAAAATAACACGATAACGAATTTACAGCAAGATACAATTAAAAATTAACTCACTGGTTCTAGTCTGGCGGATTTCGCTGTTTTCGTATGAAGCAGTGGCGGATTTACATTTTCAAGGGCTTGACGCTTACGTTCCCAAGAGATTCTTTTAACAAAAATTAATTGAAAAATATATAAGAGTTTCTATATTTAGTAAAATTAATAAAAAGGCATTTATGTCAAAGAAAGTATATTAAAAAGAATAATCTTGTTTTAATTGACGTAAATTATTATTTATAATACATTTTAAAGTTGAAAAGGGAAATTGAAAACACAATTTACCAAACGATATATGCCATTAACTTATAAATTCGCCACTGGTATGAGGTGTGGGGTGTTCTTTATTTTAATAAATTGATCTTGCCGGTTTATTTTCGCTTTTTAACTTGTTACATTGCTATATCAATCTTCTTCTCTATAAAAACGATAGTTTGGAACGATTTTGATATGAAAGCTTAGCGAAGAGTTTTATCTCCGACAGTTCGCTTTTTTCCCTTGTGTTCGAGAGATCAGAATTTTTATGGAGTTGACACGAATTATGTGTTGTGTCACTCCAGGAATGGCACAGTTGTCCAAGCGAGCGGTTATCCCATTTTTTTGCCTTTTCGTACCGTGATTTTCGCTCGAAACACTCACTAATGTTTCCTCGATAACCGCGCTATCGATCGATGAACTTAAAGCAACGGGAGTGCGAAAGGTCGGTCCAATCGCGTATCTTACGCAAGACAGCGAATTTAGTTTTCTCTACGAATTATGGCTCTTCTCCCTCTCTCTTCTGGTTCCTAAGTCGCATCGCTTCGACGAGAGTCTCGTTTCATCTTCCACGAAACTGGCCCTCCCTCTCTCTTTTTCGAAAGTTTAATGATAAACTTAACTAGCTGCGGCGACCGATTACCCGAATTCGCGACTCGTTCGGAAATAACTTTTTAATTGCCGTGACCGCTTTCGAGGTAGAGGACGGCTCAAGGAATGAAAAGAACGCGCGGTCTGAATAATCGGTGGCCGCAGATGATATGTGAATGGAAGCTTACGAACTGCGTTGTACTAGGAGAGACAATCGATTAAATTAAAAACGGGACACGATTCTGGGGACTGCGTACATTTTCTGCGTTCTATTATACTCCAAGCGACAACGATTTACGCAGTCTCTATTACGCACGCGAGTAACATCCGAGAAATGTCCCTCTCTCCATTGGAAGGACTCCTCTCACGTTCTCCGAGCACATTGGGTCTAAGTTTTTACGGTTACTGTTCTTCACTGGCGCCGATCGCGCGGCGACGTCTCTCGCAGCTCTCACAGCTTGTACACTCTAAAGCGGCTCGACGTTTCCGCCCACTCGAGTTCTTCTTCAACGGGAGCGACGATCGTGGGTCTTCTCGTCGAGCCGCCCGGGGCGTCTCGTTACAACTCGGTCGTGAGCGGCTCGGCCTTCTCGACGATCACGTGAAACTCCGTCTCTCGGTACAATCTGCCGTCTGGTACCACCATCGTTATCCTACTGTCGACCGGCGTGCCGGACGTTGCAGCTTCTCTGCCGATCACGCCGTTCTTCTTCGAGACCACGTCAGGTGCATTGGTCGGCACGCTGATCCATTTTTTCCTGTTGTTTCGTCGGCGTCTTCGACAGCACCAGACGATCAGACACACGCATACTATCAGGGCGAGAATAGCACCCACGATGATTAGAATGAAGACGAGCATGGAGCCGCCGAGTGAGCAATGACGCGCCTCGTAATCGACAAAGGTGATCGGCGCGCCGTCTGTTCCGCCGTCCAGACACAGGAAGGTCTCCGGAGTCTCGTTGATGGGCTCCTGCGGTTGCGATTGCGGCGGCACCAGCGAGTTTTCTCTCGCGTAGAACCGCGAGTAGATGTTCGTGTAGTTGAGCACATAGTTCTTCCATATGGGTAACATCTGGCAGTCGCATGGTTGCGAGACGATGAGATTATCGAGCTCCAGTCGGAAGCTCGCGCGGTCGAACATCAGCGAGCCCTCCTCGAAGCTTCCAACGCTGTTGTTTTTGAAGATGAGGCCGTGCGTGGACGACGACGACGACGACGGCGGCGGTCTGGTCTCGCGATCCGCGCGAATACCTAGAAACGCGCCCACGCCGATGCTGCCGATGGTGTTGTTCTTGATGATAACGGCACCGTCCGCCGTCACGTCGAAAGCCTCGCTCTCTAGGCTGTCGATCACGCAGTTCTGTATCGCCACCGTGCGCGGGCTCCTCACGATGAAGGCGTTGCTCCTCACGACGCCCATTCGCACGCCGTCCAACATGAACTTGTGATAGACCTCGATGTCGTTCATGGTGCGACTCGGCAGCTGATCGCCGAATGTGCTGTCTATCACGTGCAGGTAGCCGACGTCGAACTTCTTAAAGGCCTGTGCCTCCGTCGTCTCGACGCGACAGTTTTCCAATCGTATGTTTTCCGTGTGAATTAAATTGGCGAACGAGAAGGCACTCAGCTGGCCGATCCGCACGTTTTCGAACGTGATCGCCTCGATGTCGCCGCGAAAGACGAAACTCGGCATCACGTCGATGCTGCTGTTTCGCACGGTGATTCGCGTGCGCGAGCTGGACGGCGACAGTTCGAAGCTTTGTCTGACCAGGGTAAGATTCGCCACGTTCGCCAGGTCCACCGATCGTAATCCGGTCATTGAGACTAGACTTGAGTTCGCGAGGATCACGGATGAGCAGTTGCTCACCGCTATCCTGCTAGTGTGTGGACTCAGCCGTCTGTCCCCCTCCGTGGTTAGAATTAATTCCTGCAAATTAAAACAATCTTTTGTCAGGGACTTATTTTGACAGTATTTAATGTCTATATTTATATCTACATTTAATTTAGCTACCTATATAGGAAAGAGCTGGAAACATAATTGTAATGATTACATTTGTTCCATTCGACCATTATTGTAGATTATTTTTCATTTACGAAAACAAAAAGATATTTTTGAAAGCAAAATATATTAAAGATAGTCGGGATAATACATTTTCTTTATTTCGCCGAGAGATTAATCTTTGATATTATTAAGAGGAGAGGACAGTTAACATTCGAGCGTAATCTGGTACGACGCAGTATACTGAGAGGGAGGTTTCTAATAGCTATAATTGAGAGGGAGGATCGAATAGCTATAATTGCAAGCAGGTCTAACTATCCTAATTATTCGCGACGTGCGCGCCCAGTCTCGCTAATTACCGTGAATAATATTGTTATCATAATTACGGAGGGAGCTTAATTTCGCGACATAGTAATTATCGTTTTCATCTTGCGCCCGTCGAAAGATACGTCGCAGAGATTATCGATTTAAACGAAAGTCACGTTTCCCTTCTTTTAGCCAGCTTTTTTTTCCCCTCTATCGACTGTTCGCGCGAATTTACATCGAGCTATCGGTTCTGTTGGATTTTCCGCTCTGGCGCGTGCTAATACGTGTTTGCCCTTGCATACGAATTAGATGACTGCGCGGGATTATCCGGTCCGCGCGAACTCGTCACGTGTCGCGCACGTAAACGATGCACGTTCGATATATTGAACAGAGAACCGTTCTGTACATCTGCGCGGCGGATGGAATCGGAGGAGAAGCGACACGGATAATTTCGCGAGGCTCGCAGCGCGCCTCGCACCGTACACCATCGCGTCGAGCCACGTTATTGGAATGTTGCTCGCAATGTATTCGTTGCCTCATTTATTCGCGCCGGTTGCAGCTTTCGTCGTGACGTCGGAATGTCGCCCGATAACGCCCGCCGACACCTAGTGCATCGAACGGTCGATCGCGAAACGTGCATCGCGACTCTCTGCGGCTTTGATTTCTACAAAGGGACCGTGCGAGATATCTCGTGTGCGTCGCTCGCGGCAACGTATGTTGCTCTCATTAATTATCTCACTCCTCTGCCTAATCGATTCTGTTCAAACGTTGTATTCCGAGAGAAAAAGAGAAATAATGGTTGGCATATTACCGTCATAATGTCGTTAGAACAAATTTTCACTAATGAATTGCTTTTTCATAAATAAAGACGAAGATAAAACTGAAAGAACGATCTTTGGTAGGATTTCAATGCGGAAAAAATACGCGAGGCAAAATGTCCGTTGAATGGTAAAAATACAGAATAGAAATTAAAAAAGCGCGACATAGGCCGATGAAAGAAAAGGGCTTTTATGCTATTCTTTTTCAGGCCCTGTCGTTCTTACGCATTAATGTCTTGCTCCCCATTCGTTCCGTCCTACCTCTGTTCGAACTTCCCCTTTTGTTCCTGTCTCATTGTCCATGGCTACTTTTAGACGCGCAACGTCGAGCGGAGATTATCAACTAACGTATTGTACTTGCCTCTATTCCGAACTAAAATTTTTCTTTATCTTGTTTGGGAAAATTTACCGGAGATGTATACAAAAGATACTGAAGCTTCAACCTTTTTTTTCAGCCGTACAATCTTTGCGAAAAATCTTATTCAGAAACGTTTGCTAAACACTTTTAAATCATACATCATGTAGAGAAAACGTCAAGACATTGTTAGTTTTAGATCCTTTTTTGAAGTTATGACCGTCTCTCCGGAAAATTCGATGACCTCTCAAGGCTATTGCATAGAGAAATGTAATTGGCTCCTTTATCATGACGGCTTATCTATCCAACGCCTTTCACGTGTCCCAAAAACATAAAATTCATAAATGGTGGGTAGGTCGTCGCAGATCGAATCATTGTCGTAACTCTGCTGGATCTCAAAGGACATCTGAATTTTCTTTCATGAGAATTTTGCGCGTTTCTTGAGAAACGTGAGGTAAGCTCTGCGGGAACCAGAAAGTACAGGGCGATGGCGCTTTTCTTTCGATCTTCAAGCAAACATATCTTTATTCCGTTCATATTTTCTGCTTTAGTTACGCTCGAGCAATCTCTCCACGGATGGTAGACTTTTCCTTCTTCCGTACTCTCCAGACATTTTCACGCGTCACATTCCTGACCCTGTGTCCTTTTTCTCGTGCTGAGCGTGCGCTTGTCGATTACGAGAGGGATGATTCCCGGTGGGAATTAAACTCGAGCGCGGGCGTTAGTTCGCCTCGAACTAGTTTTCCCAGCAGTTTTTTGCATGTTCGCCGTGTGACATTTTCTCGACTGCATACTCGCGAGGAAATCTGCGCGACGGAGCGCGCGATTTCGTCAAGGGATAATCCGCGAGGAAATTACGAGCGCTCTAATGTCGATTATGGCAGTAATCGAAGGTGCCTTTTTACGTTTCTGATCGAACGGGAAAATGTTTGAGGGCTCGCCGCCGAATAGGCAGACACTTTGCTGAATGAAAGTGAAAATGAGTTTGGTTTAATGGGTGGGATTAAGCTCATTGGAGAGAGATGCGATAGTCGGATCCTGCCGCGTGAAAAAGAAAGGGACAAGAGGGAACCTTTGGCTGAAATCGGAAACGAAACGGCGAAATGGAAAGCGGCAGAAATGGAACCGAAAACTCTTTCATGATCCATAAAGAATTTATGCGCAACAATTCTCTCGTGACATCAAATTTTCCCGCAAAAATTCTCGCGTTGTCTGAACTTTTTGGACTCGTGCGATTCCTATATATGCGCTTAAATAGTTTTTAGTAGAAAATGATCGATGCGATTAATTTCGAGCAATTATCTCGCGTATGTTATCTAATTACTAAATTATGACCAATCTGCCGTTGATTCCCGATTATCGTTTTATTTTAATTAGTACTTCGCGCAAGAGCGACAATTCGATTTCCCATTAACAGAGATACTTAACGAAGTACTTTTATACATTCGGGAGCACTTCATTAATTTTCTATCACAATTCTGTTCATTACTATTAACTTATTGTACAGCGGAATAACCGCGATATTGCTACAGGAACCGATTGTTGCTGCTTAACCGTGCAATTTTATCCGTTGCAATTTTCTCGTGGATGGTACGGCACGTTCGCTCCGCCATCGTCTTTCCATTTTCCAAGTATTTTCATAACCGCGCGCTTCTTTTCCTTGGAAATGGCATCCTTACGTTTCCGACAGTATTTACGGCCGTTACTTTTACACCCCCGACCGAAACGCTCTTTTTTTTCGTCATTTTGCGTCTTATTCCACCATTTCTTTTGTTACGGCGGAGCGAGTAAGTTTAAGGTCGCGTTCGCTAAAAGGCAGCTTTAATTATTTACGCTCTCCGTCAATTATTCAACCCGCGACCAAGGACTTCGTACCCAGAGGATTCATCGGTGGGCTTTTATTGTTAAAAGGAGTTCAAAGCGTTTTCGATAATTTGTAAATCCAACTTTTTTTATTATCAGTATTATTAACTCTTTCTCGCGAAAGCAGATTCTATTACACATGAATTAATCACGACCACTAACTACAAACTTGGCGCTCTAAGATCTCTATTCTTTATTGTCTAGACTGTTAGTTTCTTTTGCTCAAAATGTATTCTTCTTAAAAGATCTTTGTGAGTCATATTTTCGGAAAGAACTGCAGGAATTAATTTTTCTATCATGAATCATAAATTTTATGAGCTTGCTCCTTGCTCCTATATCTTAAGATATATTCTTATTCTTTATTATTTCAACTGTTTTTTTACAAATCTTTTTTTCTTAAAAATTTCTGAAGTTTTCGTATATTTACGTTATTATGTATTTAACTAATTTGTTACCATAACTCTGCATTTTGAGAAATAATGACACTTGAAAAGAGGTTCAAATTTGAAGTTTGAATCATATTAGAATATTAATTAATATCAAAATATTTGTTTGCACTAAAATTTTCTCTTCCATCACATTTCCTTCGTGCTTCCCGTTGCAGTGTAATTATGAGTTCACTCCACACGCGTGATATGTCATCGATGATGAATGGGAAGCACGTTTTCGACCAATTAGCCGCGCAACAGAAATTCAATCCCGTTTCGAGCAATTTATATTCCTTATCGTTAGCGAGCCACTTCTTTCTTGTAATCCGCGTTATTATATCTTCCGCTCAACGATAAGTCCGCACACATGGCTCACTTTTTGCTCTTATCCGTGCGCGAGTACAAGGTCGTCGAAACTGTCAGCGTATCAGGAATAGACACGCGTATAAATACATCGATAGGTCGTTTCTCGCGAGCGTAAAGTTCGCTCGCTCGCTTGCTCGCTCGAGCTCATCTTCTTCCGGCCGGTCATTTCGTCACGCGCGCGCGAATTTTACGGTATTGTCGAATCGCTGGCAGCATGCGGCATGCACGCTCCTCGTGCACTCGAGCGGACACAAAGAACGCTTTATCGTGGAACAATAATGACAGCGAGAGACGTTGGCGAGGACGCGCGTTAACATTATCTTCGTCCGGGGTACGTTGCGCAGTAAAACAACGTCGTTGCATCGCGAAATATTTGCGCGCTTGGAGCAACGTGGCTGCGATTAAATTTCCGTGGCGTACTCCATCCTCTCTTTCTCTCGCTCTCTTTCTCTTTCTCTCTCTCTCTCCGCGCGACGAATACGAGACTCGTTTGCGTACCAGTACCGCGATACTGGAATTATTCCCGCGTGTGAAATTGATAAAATCTCGGAGTTTTAAATCAAATAACGCGAGGGACTTTAATTGTAGTAACAGGGTTGATTGTTTTATCTTGTCGCGTAATCGTTAAGCGCGATATATATACTCGTATATATTCCATGTAGCCATCCCCATCGCATTCATTACTTTCTTATCGTATTATTACTTTCAACCTCGTACTACCGTTCGCTTCTCCATCGCGGGCGAAAAAAGACGGAAGTTGGAAAAAGCAACGCTCGCGAGCAGAGAAAGACGGAAGAACGAGGAAAGAAACTTTGGCGAAGTCGAATTTCAAACTCTCATCACCACGAGAGAGAGTCTCCAAATTTATTCAATAAATTCCGGCGGTGGAAAAAGCGATAGTACTCGCGTTACCGTGTTTCTCCGCTTTACTTCGCCTCCGCTCGTGTATTCGATTCGATTTAACGAATACCGGATTCCGGACAACTTCCAGTTCCAGCGCGTCACGAAGAAAATTCTCCTCGTGGCACGAAGAAGCGCCGTTCTCGAGTCCGACTGGCGGTGCTCGTTTATCGCGATATCGCGTTGCGATTATGAATCATCCGTGCCTTTAGCGCGTAGCTGCACGTAGGCAGACGCTCCTTGATCGCGCACCGGTGTTCCTTTAATATCGCGGATGGCCGGAAGCGTCGGAAACGCGGGCCGTACGAAGAACGAACAGCTCGCGTGATCATAGATCGCCGAGGGATCGCCCGCTATTTTTTTCCCCGCTCGAACGAACAGGGTGCGTGGCCGCCGGGGGATAAACGCGAAACATTTACGAGAGGGTGGAGAAGGATCGGCGGATTTTACCTCGTACGCGTACGTATCTACCTGCCTTGCCTGCCTGCCCTTCTTGCCCGCGCGAGACCCTATATACCGATTTGCGTAAACACGCTCTAATTTATGGGGGTTTCCACATCCCTCTGTCGCAGTTGGGACCCTCGCGATTTACGAGAACCCCCCGCGTAGTCAGGAGATTAGGCTCGTTTTGGCTGATCACTCTTCTATTTTCTTTCTTTCTCTGTCTTTCTCATTTACAATGTCGATCAGTTTAAAACGACGACAGGAGCAAAGCGAGCCTCGGAACGCGGTTATTACTTCTCGATTCTTGTCGTTGCTTCGAGCGATATGCGGCACCGAAGACATCGCTGTGATCTCGAGGAAACATTTTCTCTTGTATTTTTTTTTCCTATCCTTTCCTCTCGGCCGCGGAAGAGATCGGGTTTTACGATTTCACCATCGCATGGAGCTAGTACCCGCGGTACCGCCCCTTTATCTCCCCGTCGGGTAATTCGCAAATGGAATAACGTCCCTCGCGGAACAAAGGACGGCCAGACAGAACCCCGTGTCGCATTGTCTGAGATTTTTCGTGCGATAGCGATAGACCCCGTCGCGGTTTTCGCACGAATTCGTTGTTGGGAGAGAAAGAGAAAGAGAGAGAGATTGCGCGTGAGAATACTTCTATCTTCTATCGTCTTTCGCCGTATCATTCTGATCGTTTAAGGTGGAAAGGTAGGAAAGATCGGAGACAGAGATCGGACGACTCTCATCCGATCGGGGCGTTGAAACCATTAGAATGAAAAGTACCGAGTTAACCCTAGAACCCGACCCTGAAGTTCGAACGGCTCTACCGGAAAATAGATGTCTATAAAATTGCGTTTCCACATAAAAACTATGAAGGGATATTTTAAAGAGAATTATTAAAATTATCAGAGAGTGAGAGAGAATTTTTCTTTCCGTATAAAACGAAAAATATGAGAGCAGCAAATAAAACGTAAAAACGAATAATTATAATTAAAATATGATAAGTGTATATTTAACAGAGATAATAATTATTCTTTTTTAGATTTTATCCGCTGTATTATTCTACCATAATTATAAATGAAATACTCAAAATGTGCGAGTATTTATTATATGAATGAAGGTTCGAGTTACACGTGTTTTCGTTCGTGTTGAACAGAGTCGGGTTTCGAATTAAAATACGATGAGCTGGAATACGAGAAAATAAAATATATCCTTCCTTGTCTCGGAGTCGAAAGATACAAGGCCTAGATCGACGTTCCTGATAAGGAGAGTATTTTTTCGTCGGCTTCACGCAATATCATAAGCCGAGATTCAATCGAAAATTGACTCTCTCGCGAATACTTATCAGAGATACGATTTGTGTCGAACCTACCTCTCCCTCCTCCTTGCAGTCGCAGGTCAATCTGCCGTAGTGGTCGCAGGAGCAGGGCGGATAATCGCACCTGCTGGTGGAGTTGGTCAGGACGCCCTTGAGTAAACTGCTCCAAAAAAGTCCTAAGATCGCGCTGCCCAACACATATCTCGTTGCTCCCATTTTGCGCCTCTCGCTCGCTCCTTCTTCCCCTCCTCTCTCTCCTTCTGCCATGCGCTCAAAGAGTTCCCTCTTCTTCTTCACGCCACTTCTTCTTTATTACCGGCTGTTTTATACCAAGCCGGCGTCAGGCAATTTCACGTCGAGCCGACCGTTAGGTCGCCCCGACATGTCTGCGCTTTAAATCTGCACCGTCGAATCCGACGCTTTCAATTTTCGCCTTGGCTTAGCGTGCGTTTAAATGCTGACTGGCTCGCGCTCGCGATTAATGTCGCTTGCACCACGAAAAACTATCTCGATTTAGTCGTGGCACGTGACATATGCCACGCAACATTACGTGATTCGATCATAATCCGCGTCCCGTCTCTGGATGAATTCATGCCTCTCAATGACGACGACGATCGCGCGGCACAAGTATCCTTGAAGCTCATTCGAATCGCCGACTCGAGAAATCTTCTACTACAACATTCGTCTCGATGCTTCGCTTCCTCGTTGGGACGTTGGCACGATCCAATTTTGCCGGTGACAGTGTGCAACGTTCTCGAACATTGCGTCGCCTCATCACAAGAGTTCTTCCTCTCTTCGATCTTATTCTTCTGGAAACGATAGTCCGTCTCTGTAAGGATAGAGAAATTAGAAAACCTTGCATTTCTCACTCTCTTTTATCTTCTCTTTTAGCATTAAATTTTTTTTTGACACCGAAAACTTGCGTTCTCACGGAGAGTGTTTTTCTGTCCATTTAATAACTTAATAAAGCGAAAATTAGTTCACGATTTTTCCGAGAAGATACGTCGACGTCGCACGACGATATCGAACGATAACGTTTTTGTCTCGATTTTTAAAATAATACCACGTTGCGTTATCACGCTCGATCATACAGGAACGGACGAACTGTTGAAAAGTGCCACACGATACCGCTGCATCAAATGACGGGCGTCGCAATATCCGATGATGATAATCCGCGATCTGCCACTCGGATACTCTTCCACTATATACCGTTGCGTGACTAATCGTGCCTACATTCCTGCGTTATCAGACTGCTCTCGGTCGACATGACGTGGTTCTGTTTACCGTACAAATATGTCAACTGCCGTTACTGTAAACTTTTCGCGTTAGCGTTCCACGAACATGCTTCCCGGTTATTTATGATGGTTTTGCAATGCAACGAAAAAATCGTCTTATTCATTGGCCTCCTCAACAACCTCCTAAACTTAGTAAATTAAAAACAAGTAAAGCTCAAGTTTTGTTTAAAGAGAAATACCGAGTAACAAACGATTTAAAGCTGATATCATTTTTCAAGGTATATTGGTATAAAATAAAGAATATTTGTGTAATGATAATTGTTGAAAAAATATGAAAACATAGTACACTATACACTAATTTCAAGGACTTAAAAATATATTTTAATAAATTTAATTACGAGTCAAGTATTTTATAGGATACATCATCAAGTTTAGAATTAATTATTAAATTAATTAATCTGTGCTTAATTTAATCCTTATGTTTTGATGTAACAAATATAACATTATTTTCTGTTTTGAAGTTAAATAAATATAATCCGAAAAAACTCCTCCAGGAAGTGTACTTGTAACTTATAACTAGGAAACTCTCGCCACAGATAGTCAATGAAATGTATCTTTGATATCTTCATTTCTCGTTGAAATAAAGTTTGGTCTATTCGGGCAATAACAACAAACAAAAAAAAGAAAGAAAGAAATGGCATGAAGTGGAAGCGGGCGGGCTCGATAAACGTGAAAAGAGCGTTGTGAATGAAAGGCGGTCTCACTCAAAGGACTCGAGAAGAATTTCCCTTTACGGTCGAGTCCTTCGAATGACGACCGTTCAAAATTCTTCCGGTCCGGTTTTCAGTCTGCTTCTCGGCTTTTCGCCCCATTTTCAGTAGCAACGAAGAGATACCTCACTATTAATGCGGTACTTTTACTAAGCTAATTGCTCATTGCATTAATTAAGAATTACAAAAAAAATCTTAATATTAAGCTTGGCAAAAATTACAAGTTAGAACCTTTGAGCTTCTGAGATTTACATAAATTATATTTTTGTATATGTTCTTATTAATTTATGAATAGTGTATCGATAAATAATAAGTAAAGCTTTTACGTTTATTGACATATTTGTGAAGTAAACGCTTACATTCTTCATAAGAATATTTATATCGGTTTTTGTAGTTTTGCCACGTTGGAGTTAATTCTCGCTTCATTACTCATCCCGTTATCGTTCGCTTTCAATAACAGAGATAATAATATCGCGAGGGAAAACTCATATATCGCTGCATCGACCGGTAGATCATTTTTAATTAACGAATATTCACTGTTCATCGACGCAACGATCGAGAAAGGGAAAGAAAGAGAGAGAGAAAAAGAGCAGGTGCGCGGCAATCGTTTGTGTACGATTAATTGACCGGTAGCAGGTCACCCTCGGCGTCGCTTTTGCGGCAACTATTAACGCACAAGCGAAGCCAGGGCAGAGAAATAGAGCCAAAGAGAGTGAGCGTATATGCCGTAAAAAAGAAAAAGAGAAAACACCGAAACGGGAGTTAGATAACGAAATCGATACGCTGTGGACGGACGGGAGACGAAGACTTAAACGCAAATTATTCTAAGCCGACGATGGAATGGATCCCATCTCCGCGCGGTACAACGATTAAACGTTTCGACCCATCTGATTTACGCCTCGTTAATGGATATTCATATATATTCCGAGTCCGAGACTCGAGATCGGGTAATCGGAAAGGCCCGCATATTTATCGTTCCTGAAACATACGGCTGAATGAAACAGATAGGCCTCGTCTCTCTTGCCTCTTCGACACGCGACACGATAAGTAAGGTACGGGGTGAGGGTACGTGTAGGAGTAAATCGTTTCCGATTACGTGACTCTTCCTCTCGTACGACGTCGATTCACGCAGCAATATACGTACATATATATGTGGCAAGTCGTCGACTTCTCGCGCCCCATTCGGCTGTGCGCGACTGCACCGGAATACCGTATGCGATTCCTCACGGCTGCATGCAATTTGAGGAAAGGGAGAGAGAGGAGAGAGAGAAAAGGCGATGACGATCTTTCGCGAGCGGTCCATCCCCCGTTTCGAGACATTCGCCTTTATTCCTTCGGCAACGTCTTATCTTCCCATCCGCTTTATCGCCGCGACTTGTAAGAATTGTCCGCATCCTCCCGGGAAAGCGTTCGCAGACGGCGATAAACGATAAACGAGGCCAGATCGGAGGGAGAAATAGTGGAGGAGAAATGCCGAGATTCAACCCTCACGGTAGCTTACGAAGATCCTGGGAGGAATAATTTTTCCGTACGCAAGGATTAAGCTAGGATTTCAGGACTGCGGTCCGCTTGATCGCGAGACGAGGGTTAATCCGACAATGATTTGACCAAAGGTTCCGTCTCATCCTCGCGTTCTCGATAGATAAATGTTGAAAAGAGAAAAGAGAATACTTAGCTCCTTTTTAATAAAAAATTATTTCGTGCATTTCTAATTCTCTTTCTCTTTCTCCTATCTTTCAGTTTTTCTCTCTCTTCGTGTAGAATATGTTTATATTATAATTTGTACAATTTTATATGTAGGGCACGTTCGCTAAACAGCGAATTCGTTAAATAGTTTAGGAGCTGTACACACAATCCAATAGTAGAATGTTTGTCTCATTATAACGAGGAAATAGTTGGTTGAGTTTCATCGAGCTGGTTCTGACCCGTTTCGATTATTTACATATTAAAATGATGCGATTTGAATAAAGTCGGCCGTCATTAGAGGTGCACATGACGTGGTTGACGAATTAATGCGGTATTATAAGGGGAGAGGAGGAATACATAGCGACGCGGGGGGAGGGGGGTTATGTACATCGATTATTGATAAGCTCTCCCCCGGTGTCGCGTTTAGCTAATTTAACCGAAGCGTTCGAGTGTGTTTCGATCGTTTGGCGTAGCCGCGTTTTAGTCGCAATTTTCGGCCGTGCAACACACAGCTGCATTTTCAAGTTTTATCGAAACTCCGAGATCGCTCCGGCCCACTTCATTGCACTTTCATTCCGGCGAGTGACGAGGCGCGTTTTGCGCGATTTTTTATCCGTAATCGGAAATAGAACAGACGCGTTGGAAAATGCTGCAAATAATCGCATATTTCATTTCTACACTGGTTATTCGCATGTAATGAAATTGCATTCTTCCGAAAAAAATACAGATATACTACTGGCAGTTTTTGATAATTAAAATTGTTATATGTTAATAAATAATTTTGCCGGTTTAATTTGCACTTGCGTTTCATCATTAATCTCAAATTGTCAATTTGAGGATAATTTTTATTTAGCAGTAAATATATGTGAATTATTCAGTAATGTTTTTTAGTTAGGTTATTTACTAATGCATTTCACCGCGTCACTATTTTCGAATGCAGTCGCACATCTCGCGCCTCGCATACCAGCCAAACATTTCCAATGACGAGCCGAACACGCCAGGATCGAACTGTCGGTTTTGCGCGCGTGAAAAATAAAATCACGTGTGTCAAGCGATACGGTGTAACGGTTCGATGATTCTGTTTGAATAGAACGCTGGTTTGTACAGAGACGCGTCTACCGCGGCACTTGCTCATTTCCATGTTTGTTACGATAACGAATGGCGGTGCTTTCGAACGCGAATGAAAAATATCGGTTTTGTTCGTTATCGATATCACGCTTTTAATGCGACACACGACTGATATCGGCACGGAATTGACGATAACCTACATTACGGGAGAACACGCTCGACCGCCTTTTCTAAACGACACATTTTTCTTCGTGCCTGTCCATCCTCTCCTCGCCCCCGAATAATCCGTCACGTAATGAAGACTTTATGCTTGTTGACTTGGAAGATAAATTTTTGTTTTACGAGCAGTCGTGTACCGATTTCACGATCGATATGATTATAAAAATTGATATTTCAGAAATTGATTTCTGTGCATTAAAAAAGAATTGCTGAGCGAACACAATTTACCGTGTAATTTTTCATCTTTATTTTATATCGCGCATCCAAGGAAAATGTTTGTCGCAAAATTAGAGATATCGTGTTATCAATGTTCATTTTTTCGATCAGTAAACGATCTAAACATAGCGTTATCGCTAGAAGTCAAAGAGCAATAGGCTTTTAATCAATTTTGCAACAACACATCGTTTTTCTCTTAATCGTGCAATATCTGAGCAAGTAGTTTTCAGCGGTTGTTGTTTTTCCTTCGGGGATGCAATATCTTTCGACGTTTCTCGGTTTAATCCAGATGCGGTATATAATTTGCACCGCTGCGGCCCTGCGGCTCGTAACTCAAGTAACGTTATGCATGCAACGCAGAGAGCAACGCCGGGTGGAATGTTTAGTCTCGCAGCATTGTTTTCAATTTCGAGATAACAGTAGGCGAGAAGGGCAAAGCCCAGCCGAGGGTACTCCAACATTGTTACATCACGAGAGCCCTTGTAGAGAGGGCCACGAATATACAATAAATTTCTTCTTTCCGGAATTTTGCGGTGCAGTTTACGAGACCCGCCTCAAACATTCAACGTCCAGAATTCGATGCGGTCGTCAAGAAAATTTTCATGACTCGCATTTTTCACGAACGAGTCAATATTTTACCTGCGCGATGAGTTTGACGTACAGGAAGTTAATGGAAAATTTTTTCGTTTAAAACGAAAAAAAAAAAAGAGAAAAATATTCACAAACTCCGCAAATTCTGTACACCAGATATATTCCAACGCGTATATCGGTAGCCTGAAATTCAGGCAATCAGCACATCTGATAATGCTTATACGACAAGTGTAACATCGACCTTATTTGCGTGACGCGACAATTAAGTCTTCTGGGTGGCGGCGATTCTTTCCTTGAGGGGAGGACAGGACGGGGCAGGGTTAGCTGTGAGAAACGAGCAATTAATCGACCCTGCAGCTGGCGCGGTTGTAAGAGATAGCGCGCCCGCACCATGCCACGTGGGAAATCAAGTATTACGCTCTCGCGCGATGATCCATTCGAGCGAGCCTCTCTCGGGCGTGCGATCGTACGGAATAAACTCCAGCCGTCGCGACGGCTAGGCGGAATTTCTCGTCTCGTCGCGCGACGACGACGTGGTTGGCAGCCGCCGTGGACGGTCGATCGACTTTGTGGTTCAATGCCGCGGTTCGACCTGACGATTTATTTTACGACCCGGCAGACCGAGCGCGACTTATTTTATGCGGTCTCGGCAGAAAGGCGGTGGTTTGTATTCCGACGCGTGATGCAGCTGCCGCGCG